ACTTTCATACATCATTACGACAAAGAAATTACTCATGAACAATTCACGCTGAGGACAAAAACGATCACACTGCTTAAAATGAAACGAATATTTCTAATTTCTGCGCCAAGCTTACGATTGGGATGACAAATAAACTTGTCTGGTCAGATTGTACCCTTAGTACTATCATACCCTCAGATTTTACACTTAGAAAATAACTTTGTTTAGTCAAATCGCACCCTATCATAGATCAACTATCACATCTTCAAACAGTTCTATCATAAACAACACCATTTTTACTATTGATACGTTTAGCGTTTCTATTATCAAATGGTCACTAACATGTCAATTTTATACTACTTATGACCAGTAAACCGATAGCATAAATTTAGCTATACATAACTTGAGTTTCAAACATTTTTGATATTATATCCTGAAAAATCCTACTGATTCAGTATCATTTAATGAATCAAGAGAATTTTCGACTGAACATCTGCTCACTTTGATATTTTATCTTCAGCTTCACGAATTTTCGTCTCTGTTAACAATTCCTGAACTGAATACGGCACATCACGTTTATCCATTTTACAATAAACTACCCATCGTATTGCATCATCTTGTCGACCAACTCTATTCAAATATTTCACCATATAACGTTGCAGATGCCGATCATCTTTGAGCGCTTGCTGAAATTCACTCCCGTTACCCTGTTTTCACACAGCCAATGGGATGGAATAATAACCCGGTGGGGTATACACGACACCAGAAACTTGCGATTGAATGTCACAAAACTCAGAACTGTGCGGAAGTAAGAACAGTTCTAAGATTCAAAAAATGACAAGCACACGAAATGACACAACAGTGTGAAAAGTTCAAGCGATACAACCTTTCGAAAACCAAATTAATCTGAATTTGCTTGTAAAAAGACCTCAGCAAAATTGTAGCCACTATAACCTACTGATTCAGTACTATTTAATGAACCAGACAAATCTTCGACTAAACATTTACCCACTCTGATATTCTAGACATATTCTAGACTCATCTTCACAAATATTCTTCTCTATCTATCAAAAATTCTCGAATCGAATACGGTGCATCATGTTCATCCATATTACACTAAACTACCCATCGTATAAATCCATGATAATAAAACTATGAATCAGTGATTTCTATCATCAGTATTATCATTACTGCTATCAACATCATTGTAACAAGCATCCAAAATACTATCACTGACCGCCACGTAGTCCGTATAACTTTCTTCGGACATATTCTTTTCCACGAAACGATTATAAACGATATAACGCAACGACCCTTCCTGCCTTGCACGAGCCAGATTCGGAGCCACTTCGTCGCCTTGCAAACCGTACGATGTCAACAGTTTGGTGACCAATTTTTCCACTGATTTTGGTTGCATCTTCATGCTTTGCATAGGCACTACGCCTTTATTGTATAATGTTTTGAATCGATCGCGCATATCTGAATGAAGGGCAAAAATCAAAAATTATTCACCTATCACGTATACAATATCCAGACACTGTATTCAACATTTCTATTCCGATCCCACATATTATCTCTTTCACGATTTATGAAATCGGATTTCCATTTGATTTATCAATCTTATCATAATCAAAATCATTTCATTCATTTCTTCAAAATATCTATTAAACATATAGTTATAAAGTAAACTTGATGCATGCCTTGTTCGTCTCGTCCAATGAAATCATCGAAAAATTGCACAAGCTCAATTTGC